CAGCTACACCTCAGCACAACATTTATAAAATTAGAAGAAAGTAATGAATTAGCTGTGGCGGCCATCTTGAATTGGATAAGCTTCAAAAGTTAAACAGTTGTAGATGTACATCCTGTGATAATTTCCTAAAAGTGTCGTTCAAATTTGTGCAGTGGTCTGTGAAATATTTACAGTATGTAATAGACCCAAGAACACACACACACACACACACACACACACACACAATATCCTTGTATGGCCCGTCCACTGACTTCCATTCATTTTTTGGTAATTTTATAGCCTAACCCTGACCACCAACCCTACAGCTAACATCACAGGTATCTTCCTGAACCTAAACTAACCTAAACTCAATTCAAACCTTGGTACTAAACCCAACCCCCACCTCCAAAATCAGCCTCCGAAGTTGTGGGGCCCAAGGAGCACCTGGTCCCCACAACACTGCATTTGTAGGAAAAACAAGGACACACACACATACACGTTTGTTCTTCTATCCTCATGGAGACTTTGCATTGACTTCCATTCATTTACTTGTCATTTCTACAGCCTGGCCCCTTACCCTAAACCTAGCCTAAACTGAACAGTGGCAACAGTTTAGTGCTCTAAAAAAACAGGCAGCATGGTCTCTCCTGCACAGCATCAGTTCAATTAGACCTCAGATGAGAGAGGAAACTGCTGCCTGTGTGGGGAGTCAGCACACAAAGAAAAAAAATGGTTGTGAATTTTACAACTAGTAGGAGACATTTTTCTAAAGTTCTCTCTTCCTGGCAGCACTGCCACAATTGCTTTTTTTTTGGTTCAGTGTGTGAACAAAATGACACATTTGTCATATTTTTATCCGTTGTATCTCTTTGTGCTGTCTTGTTGACATGATCAGAGCAGGTGTACAGCTGACCACACAAAATGCCATTGTTGAGACACCACGCCATCACAGCTACAACACATCACTTATAAAGTCAGCTTCATGACTGTCTTGGTGAGTAAAAGTMTGCAAAATACACAATTTATTTTGGTTTTAAAATGCCCACTTTTTGTATAAATCATCTGAAAAAAAACATCAAAATCTAAAATTGATTAATTAATTTTGAGATTCCCAGTTTTATTATAAATCATCATATATTGGAGCAATAGTTAAAGTCAAACTGCTTTATTTCACAAAGAACTGTAAGAAAGTTTAAAAACTAAAGTAAAAAAAAATCGAACTGTTGCACAACTCTCCAGGAGTTCAACATGCATCTTTCATGAGGGTCTCACCTCTTCCTCTCCTCTGCACCAAACCTTGTTTATGACCCAACAAGCTAAAATTAGGACTAACTGTGGAATAAGATTCCTGGTGTTGCCTCACGAGGTGCTTTCTCCCTTTTTGTTGTTGTCAGTTGTGCTACATGCTTTCTGCGACAACTGATTAAGGTCAGGGAAGAAAGATCTGAGAGCAGAGGTCAGGGGTCAGAGTTCAACCAAGAGATTCCACTCATTTGCTCTGTTTCCTGCTCGTGGCGTGGCTGCAATAAATTAGGTCTTACAGTAGATAGAAGATTTGAGAGCTGAAACATTCACTCAGTATATAGTTTCTGGTACATAACTGTAAAAACCAGTTGTTCAAATCAAAGCTTTGCCTCGTGTATTCAGATCAAGCATCGACGTTCCAGCAGCACAAAAAAAGTGATAACTCCAGCCTCTACTGAAACCAAAGATGTTAAATGAGGTCAGTATTAGCAGCTGGTTGTATTTACAAACTGCATGAATCTGATTTATGACCACAGATCAGTCTTAACATTGTTTTTTTAGACATTGTTCACATTTTTAACCTTCTAAACCCTCCCAAATCTTTTTCATAGCTATTTTGACCTTTCACTCTTAGAATTCTGTTTGCAGTAATTTCTTAAAATGTGAGGAGGGCCCTAATGAAACTTTGATCAATATAAGCTGCACAGAGTTGGGCTTTTTGGAAGAGTGACAGGAGAAAGACATAAAAGCTGGGCTGTTTGGACATTATTCCTCCTCAAACCTTTGAAAGAAGGACAACACTAAAACTGAACTTTTAGGCCATGAAGGACAGCACGGTGTCTTCTTCATTAAAATGAGAAACCTCTTCTCACAGTGAAGCATGGTGGTGGCAGCATCATGCTGTGGGGATGTTTTTTTATTGGCAGTGGTAAGGAAACTGGTCAGAGCTGTAGAAAACATGAATGTTGTCAAACATAGAGCAACTCCTGAGGGAAAGACTTTCAGAGATTTGAGACTGGGATGAAGGTTCACCAGGATAATGACACTAAACACATTAAAGCAACACTCCATTGGTTTAAGGAGAAACTGTTAAATCTCCAAGAATGGTCCAGACAAAGCTCAGATTTCAATCTAATAAAAATCTCTGGTTTGATTTAAAGATTRTGGTGCACAAGCAGTATCCATCCAACCTGAAGAAGCACTTTGTTCCTGAAGAATGGACAACCAAGATCCTTGAGACGAACAGAAGAAGGCTTGTTGATATTTTACTGAGGCTTTCCTGTTTGTTACAAATTAATAATAAAAAATAGCATTTTCTAAGTTGTAGCTATGTTGCGTAAATAAAAAAAAACACCCCCTGCACCCACAAAAAGAAGACAATCTGAAAGCCAGTGTAAAGTATCAGAGCATAAAAAGCCATTCTGACAAATATTTTGCTACCAGGTTATATTGTTGGCTGAAGCAGTGCATGCTCCATGGACTGCCTCTTTTTACCTCCGCCAACGGCGAGGTAATGCTTCCAGTCACGTATGTCTGTCTGTCGGCCTGTCGTTCTGTCTGTGGACAACATTACCCAAAAACTTGTGGACGGATTGTCATGACATTTACAACACATGTGGATACTGGCACAAGGAACATACCATTAAATCTTGGTGATGTTCTGGATCACGATTTAGATACAGGATTTTTTTTTCTTTTAAGCCTCTCAGATCGGCTAAGCTGTAATGCTTTCACAGGGCTTCTGTAAAAAACTGTGACAGCTTTCAGCGTTTGGACTTCAAACTTTATAAAAGTAATGTTAAAACCAGATGTAATGATGAATAATTTTTGCCATAATGTGTGCATTTTTACGCATTTGGTGCACATTTTGAGAACATTTTGTGACCACGAAGTGCGTGACTGCACCATGAAACCTATTTTTCCCATTTCCTCAAACACACCACATTGTCGATGAAGATTGAGGAAGAGGAGTGACGTGGTGGACTTCAGACTCGGAGGTTGTTTGTTTTTTCATTTTTATTATTATTGAAATGAGGCCAGATCAAGTCGAGAGCTATTTGTGCGCCCCTCTATCCACCTCTCGCCAGACTTTGGGGAAAAAAAGAATGCGCAGAGCGTGGTTGTGACCACTGTGTGTGGTCCTCACAAAGATAGGAAGACGCGTGTGTGTCTGTGTGATTACACGCGCGATGAAAACTCTTTTTTGAATCATGTAGCACCGATGCGAAAGCTTTCAACAATAATGCCGGGTGACGAGTCTGACTTTCTTCCTTTTTTTTCCCACATTGGACTCCACCGGGAAGAAATCCCTTGCATACTGCCTGCTTAAAGAATAACTTACCCCAAAATTAACTTTTTTTAGCTGATAAACTGTCTAGAATGTGTCTAAAATGTTATATAGTACTGTTTCTGAGGTAATTTTGATGTTTTTATGCGTATTTGTTCAAATCTGTAATATTTGGTCTAAAAACATCTTTTTGCTGCTCATATGGGTAGAGCAGTGGTACTGCAGGCTAATTTRCATATTGGTTAACGGCTCTCCGCTGTGACGTGCTTCTCCACAGTTTCGTCACAGCGGCTGTGCTCTGGTATAAAAGCCTCTCTCTAAGACACGCCCCTGCAGCAGTCAGAGGGTGGAAGAGTTAGCAAGCTTAGCATGATCGTCTGTTGACCTTCAGCCTCGGGTGGGGAGAGCTGACTGCTGCGCTGCTCTCTCTCTACAGAGAGAGAGAGAGAGAGAGAGAGAGAGAGAGAGAGAGAGAGAGAGAGAGAGAGAGAGAGA